CTGGCTACTCCGCAGAGCCGGTTCTGAATTTTATAAGACTTTGGACGAAATGTGCTAAATGATCCTCTCAATCCACAAATTTGTATTGTTGTTCGAGAACACGACTTGTGGATTTATGGGTTGGTGAACAAGTCGAGTTTTGAGCTTTTACCAGATGGTCCGAACTGTATTTGAGAACAATTGAATGCGAATAACAACTTTAAGTGTACTTTGCGCATTTTGGTGAACGTGCTCGATTTAATTGAACCAAACTTTCACTGAATCGAGTTGTATTTGCTAATTGGATTAGAATGATAACTTCTAAGAAGTATTGGTCGCATAATTTTGGAATATTTAAGGAGTGATTGTTACAGTTTTGCTATGGAACTAATATTTGAGCTCTACAATGAAGTCAATCTCCTCTATATAGTAAGTAAAAAGTATCATTTTTTCTATTTAGATAAAAAATACAAAAAACAACTACTTGACAAAGAAATAAGAATATTGAAATGTAAAAGAACTTACATTTTTTAAATTTAATTTTTAAAAATAAATACTACAATGTTTGTAATATTATTTAAAAATTATGTAAACCTTCTTTTTTTTTTTTTAATTAAACAATAGAATTAATAATAATTTGTACAACTAAGTATTTTATATAATTATAGACTACACATTCTCGCCGCAGGCGATTTCCTTCATCCCAAACCCTATACCCGCAACTTCTCCCCAATCGGCCGTTCTTGGCCTCCTCCGGCGGCGGCGAGGCCGGATTTGCGGCTGTCGCTGGCCGCCCGTCCTTCTCAGGTAATTTTCCCCCTGTTTTGTTGTCGTTGCTTCTCCTCGTTTCTCTCCCGGTCGCTGGCGAAGGTTGAGATGTTGGTGGCTTATGGTCGTTGTCTGGGGCTATCGGCGTGCGGCGATGTCGTGGGGTTCGGCTGGGAGTTCGTTGCCATCTTCTTCCTTGGTTGGTGACCTGATCCCTATTGGTGCGGTTGGGGGTCGGAGGTGCAGTTTGGGTTTGGTTGGGTCTGGTTGGTAGGGCTCGATTGGGCGACCTGAGGTTATGACGACGGTCAGGGCTTTAGTGGCTTGGGGCTGTGGTCTCAGGGTGGAGGCATGGGTTAGGGGTTCAGGGTGTGGCTTGGGGTTCAGGGGAGAGGGTGATGGTTGGGCAGCGGAGGTGGCTCTGTGGGGCTGAATTGCTTGGTGATCGGATTGGGGCTTCAGCAGCTGTCGCGTGCTGTGCGTGGCGGCTGCTGGGGTTGGGAGTGTGGGTATGGAGCGACTATCCCTTTCTTTCTCGGTTGTTGGAAAGTTGGGGATCTGGGTATCCTGGGCTTAGCTAGTGGTGTTAGCTGAGTCTGGGTTGTTCCGGTTGGGGTTGCTGTGCTCGTTCTCTCTCGGCCGGTGGGTTCTAGCTCTTTGGTTAGGTTCAGGGGCGGGGACCAGACTCTTGTATAGGCCTTATGCAGTTTCGAGGGTTGGGTTTTGGCTAGGGGCCTGACCGGGAGTCGGATGTTGCTGCTTCTTCAGTTTGCCAATCTTCGGGGGAGGGTCGTTAGTAGTAGTAGTTAGTTGTTTTTATCTGTGTTGATGTTTGTTTCTTTCATTTGGTTATTGTGTTCTGTGACTTTGGTTTGGGCCGTTTGGCCCCTGTTTGTTTTTCTTTTTAGGGTCGGAGATGATTACATGCTAGGCATTGTGCAGTGGTTCTGTTTTCATTTTTCTTTATTTTCGTTTGTGGAGTTCTTTAGGCCGCCATGTGCGTGTCCTCTCAGTTTTTTATTCCTGTTCGTTTAGTAAAGTGTTTTTGGTTTGGGCCGTTGGCCCCTGTCTCATTACCCTGTTGGGGCCTTAGATATTACCCTGTTGAGGTCTTGTATTTTGTTTTTTTGCACTTTTGTGCTTTTAATATGACCTCTATCGTTTCGAAAAAAAAAAAGTATTTTATATAATTTGAAAAATAGTACAAACTTTTATAGTATTTTTTTTCAAAGTTAAATAAAAACGATTTATATAATCTGTATCTTTTAAAAGTACCATATTTTCTAATTAGATAACTAGTTTATATAATAGCAAAACTGAATTTGTATATTAATTAAGTTTGTACTAGTATTAACTACTTAGTTGTACAGATTATCATTGCTAATTGTATAAGTGTCATATGTTAATACAATGATCTTAGTAAGTTTTACCAATAATAGTCTGTATTTTTGAAAGTTAAATAAGAACATATGGTGGTTAATAATTGTACCATGATTATATAAACTGTTCATTAGAAAATATCAATAGTTGCTAATTGTATTTTTTTTTATCTTATTAATATGTATTTTTTATCTAATTAAAAAATTTTGTATTTTTTACTTACTATATAAAAGAGGTTGACTTCATTATGAAGCTAATTGTTGCCTTAATAGCAAAATTGGTGATTGTTAAAAAAAAATGTATTTTTTATTCTGTATCGTGGATAAATATTTTTTATTGTTAAAATTTTGATTATGTATTATTTTCTTTCCAAAACCAATTATTATTATGAAATTCGGATAATATTAATTTGAAATTCAAAAAGAAATCGCATTGGAACATCCTAAAAATTTAGGTTTTGTTTAATCCTATAGAATATAAATTTGAAAATGATTGCATATACGTACACAATTTTTGCTTAATTCCTTAAATTAACTAAGGCTATAGATTATCAAGAAAGACATTTTACAATCTCTGTCATATTTGGTTATGCAATATTTATAAAGTCAATATGTATCATATTATATATATTCAGCTAACTAATTTAATTTATTTATAAATAATATCATATACATAGGTGTCAAGTGTTTATTTTATTAAGTACGGTTAGGTTGTTTTCTATATTATTTGATTTATGTTTAATAATATATAAGTTATATTTTGTTTTATTCCAATACATGAGTTTTGCGTTCTTCCAATCATCCAAATAAAAATGCTCACCTTAATAAAATTAGCCCGTGCATAGCACGGGTACCGCACTAGTAGTTGCTAATTGTATTTTTTTTTATCTTATTATATTATGTATTTTTTATCTAATTAAAAAATATAGTATTTTTTACTTACTATATAAAAGAGGTTGACTTTATTATGAAGCCAAATGTTGGTTTTATAGCATAATTGGTGATTGTTAAAAAAATATATTTTTTTATTCCGTATCGAGGATAAATAATTTTTATTGTTAAAATTTTGATTATGTATTATTTTCTTTCAAAAAAGAATTATTAAGTCATTTGTACCTTTTTTTTTTTTCTCCTCACAATCTTATCAACATAATTAAACACTGTAAATTAATTAATGCTACATAATTACTTTTTATTACAAATACATTGTTTATTCAATTACATATTCTTACAATCAGTCATTCATAATTACTTATTATTATTTTTGTATTGGTTAACCTTATTTATGACAATTTATTATACCCATTCACAATTATTAAAGGGTGTTGATATTTACCGCACCCAACAATGACTATTTTCCCTTACTAATATTTAATAATAAAAAAATCAATTTTTAATTATTTTTTTTAAATAATAAAATAAAATACAACAAAATATAACAAATAAAAACTCAGAAAAATCCTACATTGACCAATCAAAAAAAAAAAAAACCAAACTTGAATAAAAAAAAATCCGAAAAAATGGCGGGTCAATTTTCACACACCGGGAAAGGAGTCTCCAATTCACAGTTTTTTTTTTTTTTACATTTTTAACGATTTAAAAAAAAAAAAAAAATTCTCTGTGGCCAGTCGTCCGCCAATTGCGGTTGTGGTTAAGCGGGGCGGCCGGCCTTTGCTGCGCTAAATCGTACGGCCGCATGGCGACCGCGGCCACGACTCGTGTGGCCGCTCTTGTCGCCTGCGGCCATCCAGTACCCGGCCGCTAAAGGCGGCCGACATTTCCATTCGCGACCGCGTGCGGCCAATTTTATTTTATTTATTTTTAATTTTTGCTTTGTTTTTAGTACTAAAAAATTATAATTCTAATTAGTATAATTATTGTAAATTAAAATAATAATATATAAGATAATCTTTTATATATACTAATATAATTTTTTAAAAATAATTAATAATATATATTAAAAATTCTAGTAGTAATTAATATAATGAATAAAAATTATTTATACTAATATAGTAGGTATTATAATTGTTAGTACAATTATACTAAAATATTAAGTACTATATTAGTATATATTAGTATATAAAAAATAAATTAGTATTTAGTATCTATTATAAATTAATATTATAAAATTACATTAATTGTTGTAGGAAAAAAATATATCAGTATAAATTATTAAGTTATATATATTATTTAATTATCTCATAAAATAAAATTTATTGATATTAAGAATTGATTATATAATAAATTACAAATTACTATTATGATTTTGAGATAAGTTATAATTCATTATTTTGTAAAATATTAACATACATCGTAACATATTGCAGGTGCCACTCGAAAATTTTGGCGGAGACGGTGAAGATTACCGATCTTGTTTCGCTACAGATGAGCTATTTGATAATCCCGACAAAGCTATTGAATGGGCAAAAGACATTGCAATAATATGGGATTTCCAATTGGTCATCTCGAGACACAATA